AGCTGCCATAAGCAATTCCTCCTGCAAAGAGCCCTGCTGGGTGGGGGAGCAGCAGCTCCCAGAACCACAGACCACGGCTGGGACACCGATTCCCGTGTCACCTCAGACGACGGGTGGGTGGGGAGACACGAGACAGGTGACCGACACCCTGCTGGCTCTGCTTGGGGGTTAAACTCTGCCATACTCGGCAGCCAGACAACAGCAGAGCCAAGCTGGCAGCTCTTGCTTGAGGGGAGCTCTCGGGGTGGGCGGTCGGGGCTGGGGGCGGGAGCTGTCGGCAGGCGCTGCAGGGGTGAGGCAGGGGCGGGCAAGGCTGGCCTGCTGCGGTGCAGGGCGCCCTTGGACAGCAGGGCGGGCGGGGAGGGGGATGGGAGACCCACGGGGCGTCCAGGCTATCCTAGGAGCCAGGCCTTATTCTGAGTATGGCCGGGGCCATGGGGGGCTCAGGGGGCCCTATGATCGGAGTGCAGTTTAGGGGCCCCCTCAGGCTGCCGGGTGGAGAGGAGGCTGCAGGGCAGGGTGCCAGGCGGGAGGCGCAGCAGTGCTCTGCACACTGTAGAGCCCAGCGAAGGGATGTGTGAATGGGGAGGAGAGTGAGGGCAACTGCGGGTCCCGGCGGGGCAGGCTGCGAGACAGGAGTCGGGCAGTGGCATGCAGGAGGGATGTAAACCGGTCATTTGGTGAACCGTGAAGCCGGTTCTGGAAGTGACTGTCAGGGGTGTGGGGCGGGTGCCGAGGGCCCCTGCTGCTGAGCTACTGCTGTGTCCTGAAACATCAGCTCGTAATTTCTGTGTCTAGACCCCTGGACTCACAGCCACCCTGTCCTGTTCCGCGCTGGCCACGGGGGACGAGGACCAAGAACCTCCTTGGGAAACGAGGCGCAGGTCTCCTGAGCAAGCCTCTGACCTCATCCCTGCCCCTTCCTGTGGTTTCTGTTCTTAAAAACCCACCCTGTGGGGTGGGGCAAGCTCGGGCTGACCGAGCGTCTGTCCTGGGCCGGGCATGGCGTGGCGGGGCCGGGCTGCAGCAGCAGGGAGCCCCTCCTGCCCCCAGGGCCAGGCTGGGGACCGGCAGCCTCAGCGGGCACAAAGGACCCATCTGGGACACCTTGGACATTCTCAGTGACCCCTTGGGGCCCGAGGACTGAGAGTCCAGAGCTGTGCTGTCCCCCAGCCCGAGCCCCCACCAGGCCCGCCCTGCAGGCCCGGCTCTGCTTTGCGGGCGGCTGCCCACACAGGGAAGGACAGTTCTGGAAGGGAAGGGGGAGGACAGACTCGTGGCAGCGGCTGAACCCGCTGCGCTCCTCTGTCACTTGCACACCAGCTCTCGCAGGGACAGCCGCCAGCACCCCCCCCACACCTGTGGGACCTGGCCCCGGAGGCCTGAGCTCTGAGGCCAGAGCTCGTCTGTCTCCTCCCAGGTCTGGGCGTCAGCAGGGCTGGCCCGTTTCTGGGTCTGGTGAGGCCCTGCAGTGCCACTCAGACCTTTCCCTCGGCCTGGGAGACCGGGCCACTTACTCTGGCGCAGTGTGAGGACGGACAAGGGAACAGATGCACACGACGCTGCCACACGACGCTAGTCTTGAAAGAGGCGGTGTGAGGGCAGCGGCTAAGAGCTTTAAAACAACGCACTGCCGATTAGCGCAAAAAGCTCACCCAGCCAGCCAGAGAGGAGCTGCAGGCGCTGGGCTGCCGCAGGCACGCGCCTCGCGCCAGCCACCGCGAAGCCCCGTCGGCAGCTGTTCTCGAAAACGTGTTTTGTGTTGCCCACTAAGTGCCCTACACGCAGCTCGGAGAGCAAGGCTCTGTGGGAGCAAGTACGAAGGGTGTGAGTACTGGCTGCATCTGATGATTTATCTGTAGCTAGACTGTCAGTGCTCGGGGTTTCAGCCACCGCCCGTCTGCCCGACTGTGGATTGGGTAACAGTCCCCAGCGCTGGGGAGCAGAGAGCCAGCGACCCCGACACGGCGGAACTGGCGCCGTCAGCATTTATTCTGTGTGCACGCAGGGGTCCGCCTGCACCAGGAGGTTCCACTGGGGCTTCGTTAACCTGGCTTTGACAAGGAATGGAATCCTCTCGATGCAGAGACTGCCCCAGGGGGGCCTCCCCGGCACAGCACGCGGGGACCTGTCCCTGCCAGGCACCAGGCGGAGCTCTGAAGCAGCGGGTGGGCTCCCCCCAATCTCTCCCCCACCTGCCGGCCCAGGACACAGAGCCACAAGACACAGGGCTGTGTCCTTCCACCATGGGGAGGGAACGAGGCTCTGGGGTCTGGGCTACTGTTCGTGGAGTCGGCCTGGTGTAGCGGTGAGGGCAACTGCTTCCACCCTCCCTGGTGTAGCAGATCCTTCGGCTGCTGGAATTCAGGGGACCAGGGACGAGGGACACCACCAGGTGAGCCGGGGGACCACCCGCAGCAGCAGGACGAGCGTGGCCCACTGCCCCGTGCTGTGTTCTCCGAAATCGTGCCAGCCCCCAGCTCAGAGTCAGTGGCAGGGTGGAGTGGCCGTCCTGCCTGCTGTCCTGGCCTCTCCCCTGCCCGGGACCCAGGTGCCGGCCTGGCTTCCGCCACTGTGGTCCCCGTGCGTGCGCTTACGCTCAGGCCTGTCCCCGCCCACCCTCGACCTTGCTGAACACGCTGGGCGGCCCCCACTTACCTGCACCCACCTTGCCAGGGGTCTTCTCTCCGGAGGGTCATCGGGCAGATCGCACTCAGTATTTTCAATGAGCACCGCACACTCTGGTGCAGAGTTCGACGCCCAGAAACAGACCCCAGAGCTCATCCGGACAGTGCCAGACAGCACGAACACAGCTTCAGCTGGAAACGACACCTTCAAAGGAGACGGGGAACAAAGCGCCCCATCGGCGTCTCCGGAAGTGGCGGCCCCATGTCAGGGTCCGGAAGGGCCTCCAAGGGGCCCTGCACTGGGCGTTGCCGTGGGGTCAATGGCACAGACCAGCCCTAGAGGGCGCACAAGAACCAGTCAACAGGGACACTGGCTGTATGCCCCTTGCGGTTTTATCTTTTAACCCTGCACACAATGATTTTTGTAAAAAGACAGCACCTCACCCATTATATTTTCCTTCCAAAACGGAGGCCTCGGTTGGAAGACGACTTCCAGCTTCACAAATGGTTCCAAACCCAAGGTCTGCGATGCAGACGAAACCCTCCTAGGGGCCAGGCACCATGGCCACCTGTGACTGTCTGGGAGCGGGTCACGACCTCACCTCTGCCCCGTTCCACACGTGCGTCTGCAACCTTCACGGTGTGAACAAAGAGCCCGAGGCGGGCTGAGCTCGGCGGGTTCCGCTGCACACAAACGTCGCGCTGCGTGGGGCCACGGCACCAACAGGCCCCTCTGTGCGGCTCAGACTGAACCCGGGGTCCCTGGTGACTGAGGGGCAACACAGACGAGGGTGGGCGGCCTCCAGGCAAGGAGGGCCTGGAAGGCGGGGCACGGAGGTGCGTCTCGCACAGGGGAGCCGAGTGCGCACACCTCAGAGGCAGCCCTGCCTCCCCCCCCCGCCCCCCCAGTCCTCTGTATCCGGCGTGGAAAGCACGGGACAGGCACTGACGTGCCGAGACAGCCGAGACCTGTCTGGAGCTGGCACTGGCAGGAGAGCACACAGCAGGCCGGGCTGTGTGCAGGGGCATGGGGACAGTCTCGGGGTGCAGCCCGACCCCTGTTGGCCACAGGTATAAAGTCTGGAGACTGCCTGCATCCAACAACGGGTCAGAGGTCCACCTTTACCCGGAAAGTGCCTGCCCCTCCGCTTCTCGGGCTCTCCCAGGAGAAATGTTGACGCCAGCAAGATGAAACACAGAAACACAGACTTATTAAACAGAAGTGTGTATTAAACCATTTCATTGGAAACTGGTTAAAAATTAAGGCACTCCAAACCTCATGGTTTCCGTGAGGTTACGATTTTGTGGTTGCTCTTCGTACTAAACCAGAGGAAAGTACATGGACTAAGACCAGCCTTACAAACGCCCTGACGCGGGTGTCTATGCTGCGTGAAAGGATTAAATACGCTAAATTTAACAACTGGTAGCTCTACTTGCAGCTCAGCAACCTACATTCAGGAGAAAGTGTGATTTTATATACATGCTACTGTATTAACACAAAGTTCACTAAGTCTATTAGAAAGTTTCTTTTATGAATAAACGTCAAATTTTGATGGCTGCTATAAAACACTTAGAAATCTTTGTAATACTTTAAATTACTACAAATGCCCAAGAAGTCAGAAAAATAAGAGTAAAGAATTTGTTAAAGGTTATGTCCTCAGTTTGTGAAAGTTTCAAGGTGGAAGCAAGCGCTAGTTCATGGCACACACACAGCTAAAAAGGCTTATTGAGCTGTTTGATGATTTCTTAAAGTATTTTGGATCACAGTGATCTGTGAGCTTTATAGTGTGAAAATGGAACACATCGCTTATTTTAGGTGCTGTTGACCTATTTTCCCAAAGCAAAACTTTTCTGACTTCAAAGCAATCTGGCAACTGGGACTATTCTCAGTACTTTTTTAAGCAAAGCTTTTCACGTGGTTGTTTCACTGTATGTTGCTTTCCCTGCCATGAAGTGCTTGGTCCATTTGCTAAAGTCACATATCCTGATTTTAAGGAAACGCATGACACGCACAGCATCATGGGTACCTGGAGTGCCCTCGAAGAACTCCCAGGGCAGCCGACTCTGAAGGGAAGGCTCAGAACACATCCAGGCCAGAGCGGCTGGAAGCCAGTGGCCTCCCGAGGCAGGACCCCCGCCAGTGTCTGCTGGGTGCTGTGTGGAGGCCCCTCAGCTGGCCCTGACGCTCCTGCTTCCAGGGCCTGCGCATGAACCCTCCCTCTCCTCGGGGCAGACCTGCCTGCCCCGTGATCCCACACAGCCTGCCAAGCAGAGACCTGCAACTTGTGCAGACTCCGACGTAGCGGGTGGGAGAGAGCGCAGCGGCGCCCTCCTCCTGCTGTCGGCACACAAGCAGTTGACCAGTGCCGCAGAGGCAGGGTTGAAAACTGCATTTATAATCCAAGTTGCTACTGGGAAAAAGATTCTCATGTTCTATTAAAGATACAAATTTTAAAAATTGTCCAATAAGGGATCTGAACTTTCATATGAAAGTTTTTTGGTGAACTCTTTTAGGTGGAAGAAAGAATCCAAGAATTATGTTTTTTAAAATGGCAGTGATTTCACCTATTTCTCAACGCCACTCAATACAGCTGAGGTCAGGAAGTGGATCCCATTAGACCGTGTACTGGAACGCTGTCTTCGGCAAAAGCCACCCGAGTCAACCCAGGTGAGGATTCAACAAGACGGGCATGGCAGGCCACGCGCAAACGGCACCAGAGATGTTGTCCGTGGCTTTACGGGGAAATGAGGAGGGCCTGGTCAGTTCTCCCCACAACAAAAGTAAAACCGACTTTCATTTGTTGCTGTGTGAAGCTTGTCGGTGGGCAGAGAGGAACTCAAGAATTCTGCAGCTGCACAGAAAAGTTAACAGCAACAGCGAGTTAGTGCTGCTAGGCTGCTTAGTTTGCAACGAGCTTATAAATCGAGAAGAGTAGTTGAATAGGCACATTTCCTCCTCAAAAAAACAAAAAGAAAAAACCGCCAAAGGTTTACTGTCCCAAGTGACTACAGAAATAGAGATAACAAGGAATATAACAGAAGGTCGCGAGTTTGCAGGGACAGAGAAGAAACTGCCCTTTCGGGGCAGCTCCCCAAGTGCCCGTCCTGGGGGACTGGCAGGGGCGCTCTGCCAAGGTCGGGAACAAGACGAGGGCAGCCGTCCCCCTGCTGGGCTGTGCTGAGGGGCGTGCGCGCACCGGAAGCTCTGGATTGCCTGACGAGCTGCAGCGTTTCAGTTGTTTTCGAATCTCGCATACGGGTTTTCTTCTTTAAACAAACCTGGAAACAAAATGAACTTGAATTATAAATTCATTCATTCAAACCAGGAACAAAATTCAAAAACGGCTTCTAAGTTAACTCAGTTTGATATGAAGATTTGTTAGGGTTGTGAGAGAACAGGTGTTCTAAGGCGGCTCAAATATTATTCTTAACTTTTTCTGAAGTCAAACCACAGTTGACTTTAAAACTGAAATAACATTGATTGCAAACAAGAATTCTAACAGACCCTAAGGAATAAAGACTTACTTGCTGATGCTCACAAAGAGAAATAAAGAAATTTAAGGCACATGTTTCTTTCCACAAAACAAAACTACTTTACTCCAAATGTCCTTGTAATTGCTGGTTAACTCTTTAGAATTAAGGCTACAGAAAGAACTCAGACCGTCGATTTAACTCTCCAGTGCTGGACTATAACTGGAATACAATGTGTATTTTACCATTGAAATCCATCTGTGGCACCTACCCACGGGCCAGTTTTCTCTTCACCCTGCAGAAACACACGTGTGTGCCCACGCACACACACTCTCTTCCTCTTTAAAAATCTGCATTGTTTGCCAAAATTGTCCGGAACAATGCAACAAATCTATTCACTGCAATTTTGGGCGGGGGCGGTGGGGAAGGGGGCAGGGAAGAAATGCGGAACAGAGGAGAGAAGCCACAGGCGGCGCTGAGGACACACCAGGCTCACTTGTCAAAGAGGGACCACGGGCGCCGGGCTCTGGGGCAAGAGCCCTAGTCAGTGTCAGTGACCAGCTACCAGAAACCGAGTGCCGAATGAAGCAGCCTTGTTCAGGTCTTACTGAAAACACAGCTCCTAGGTCTATTTCTAGCCCAGCGGGAAGACCCGAACCAGAGCAAGGGCTCCGTGTGCACGCTGGCGCTGACGTGTCAGCCGAGCCGGCGCACTGGCAGCCCTCTCCCCTTCTCCCGGGAATCCCTCCCCCTCCCTGAGGCTCTGCAGAGCGTAGCCCATTCCACGTGATTTGTCATAAACCGGCACAAAAAGGTAACTTCATCAGTGCAATTAAAGGGCCAAGTTAAGCACCAAAACAGCAGGAACACATTAGTGATATAGAGACGCCAGCTCCACTGACAGCCCCCAACCCTCGGGGAGATTTTTTTTTTTTTTTTTTTTGAGACAGAGTCTTACTTTGTTGCCCGGGCTAGAGTGCCATGGCGTCAGCCTAGCTCACAGCAACCTCAAACTCCTGGGCTCAAGCGATCCTCCTGCCTCAGCCTCCCGAGTAGCTGGGACTAGAGGCATGCGCCACCATGCCTGGCTAATTTTTTCTATATGTTTTTAGCTGTCCAATTAATTTCTTTCTATTTTTGGTAGAGACGGGGTCTCGCTCTTGCTCAGGCTGGTCTGGAACTCCTGAGCTCAAACAATCCGCCCGCCTCGGCCTCCCAGAGTGCTAGGATTACAGGTATGAGCCACCGCGCCCGGCCTCAGGGCAATTTTGAGTACTGGTTGTGCCTCTGTCTTTTGTTTACTTTAACATTAATCAGATGCCAAAAAGCTCCTTTCGACTGTCCAGGGCTGGCGCAGACGTCAATGGGCCGCCCTCCCACAGGCACAAGCGTGCACTCGGGAGTGCGGAGAGCCCAGTGCAGCCCACACCGCGTCCCCACACACTCGGGAACACGGGACATGGAGGCGGCGAAGCAGGGACAACACCTGGGGCCAGCACTGGGAAGGACGGCCAAGGACGATGGAGAGTGGGGAGCAGGGGGTGCTCCAGGGCAGCAGCTTGGCTTGAGCACCGCCCAGGCACACGCAGCCCTCGGAGGAGACCGAGGGGCAAGAACGTGAGGAAGAGGCTGCGCAGCTGCTGGCTGCCCCGCACCCCAAAGACAGAGGAGTCGCGAGACCGGGAGCAGCAGGGACAGCCTCACAGCCCGAGCTGGCTCGGAGGCCAGCAGAGGCGACCACGGCCTGAGGCCTGGCCTCCGGTCACAGCACATGAACCAGGCTTTCCAAGGAGGCCTGAGCAGATTGGGGAGAGGGACATCCCGGCGAGGGACAGAGCTAGCCCCCGCGCAGCCCAGAGCACCAACAGCAACAGGCCTCTGCAGCCCCGTCGGAGGGAGGCGCTGCCGCTGCTGCTCCTGGGCTTTGCTGTAACATCTCCCCCAGACGACGGAAACGAAGTACAGTGACATAATGTCCCCAGTGGGCAGGAGCCTAAAATACTACTATTTTAGTAAAATATGTATTTCCTTATTCAAACAGGGGACTCCAAAAAAAAACATGCATTAGTCAGAAACAGATTCTGAACTTTTCCTGATTAGATTCAGCCTTTAACATGGTGCTTCGGGGAAAGCACAGTGGGCTCAGGCCTAGGGACCTCCCGAGGCCCTGTGGCTGCCACGCACTGACAGCACTGACACTCACATCCAGACAGGTGAGGGGTCAGTTTCTGCCACGTCCAACACCACCACACAATCACAAAACCTGGCCAGGCAACATTCATCCTCCTATGAACTTTCAACACCATGGGATCTAGGCGAGTACGGGCAACTGGACGTGCATTTCCAATTCACTGCAATTAGACAAAACGTTTATACTTGACACCCATCTTCATTCTGCCTACTTCACAGTCTCCCCCCAAAATCTCTTCAAACAAAACCAAACACGAACAAAACACCCAGGAGACGTGGTGAGAGGAAGCACAGCCTCAGTTCTGGTGAATTCTCTGAAACAGGAGTGCCGTCTGGGACACTCAGAAGACGGGAATGAGAGTGGCACGCCCCGAGGACGAAGGGCTGCGCTCGAGGCGAGGACAGGAACCCGGCACAGTCACACGGGCACACCCGCGCTAAGGCTCGAATGAGATGACAAAGCAGCTATAGACAGTCCATTCTGGAAGTTTTAATACTTCATGAGCAAACAAGTATCCAAGAAAGCACACTTCATGAGGAAGTCTGGCTGAGACACAAATGCTTTGAGACGTCTGCGGCACGGGTTAGCTACAGCGCCACCCGGAACGAGACGGAAGGACTCACAGAGGAGAGACCGCGCCCACGTCCACAGCTGCATCTCACCTGGCAGTGACGAGGACCAGGGCAGTTGGGCATCAATTCCTAACCAGCTGAAAAGGAAACAAAATTGATTCTCACCATATTTTTTTCTGATTTCATCATGTCTTGACTTCATCTCTGCTCTCCTAAAAAAGAAAGAAAACATTGTTAGCACCAAACTGCTAAGTACACCGTTACTTCAAAACACACACCCATTAGTCTCCTTCAGCAGAGGCTGTGGGTTTCTCCTGGTGGCCTCCCTCCAGTTCCCAGGATGAGACAGGGTGGGGACAAGCTCAGCCATCAGGCCACACACCTGCCAGGACAGGCAGCATGACAACAAACCCAGTCTTCGGAGCCGCTCCAATATATCGTTCTATTCTTTTCAGTAAAAGCAATTCAAATCTCAATACTATGATTTTTAAAAAGTTTTTCTTCATATAAGGAAAATGCACTGATAGTAAAAATCGTAAGCCAGACTCTGAAGGTGGCTAGGAAAATGCAACCGTTAGCTTTTATTTAGTGGCACATGACCTCAAGGTGACGACATGGAAGACCTAACCAGGAAGGCTGCCCGTCAGTCCCTCCGTGTGCCAGGTGTGGATGACGCAACCCGCCTCACCTGCCTCCCAGGGCTGCCACACGGCCCCAGCACACACTCAAAGGAGTGCTGTGTCAGAGAACTGTGGCGCCAGAGCCGACTCGGCCACAGGCTGGTCCCAACGCTGCCCCTCTGAGCCTCATCATAGACGCACGGGACTGGACCAACACCCTTCGGAGGCCCCGCCACCTTAGCCGTAGCAACAAACAGCCGTTAAACTGCAAACACAGACGTTTGCCCGCCAGTCACCACCAGCTGCGACCCTTCCTTCACCAACGGGAGCGGCAGACAAGGCAGCCGTGAACAAGGTCAGTGGCCACTTGCCAAATTCCGACCACACGCAGCTTCTCACTCCCTTTACTACGATCTGGAAATTTCCATGGCTACGGAACACGTTATTAATTTTTTAAAAAATAAGAAAACTCATGAAACTTGTTTTCATGGCCTTCCAGATCTGAATTCCGTGGAAACGAGCTTCTTCCAAGCAGAAGGGCTGTGAGCTCACCTTTCCTCCTGCCGCATCCGCCTCTCTTCCCGCTCTCTCATCTCCTTCTCGTCACTCTTGTCCAGCTCCCGACGCCTCTTCCTCCGGCAGCAGCAGCAGCAGCAGACAGCAATGCCCAGGAGGATGGCCACCCCCACCACCGACATGGCGATAATCAACGCCTCGAAGTTCACTGGAATCCAAGCACGCCGAGTTAGAGCCGCTCCAAGGACGGAAGCTGCCGCTAAAGCCCCGTTCCCTTGTCTGCGGGGAGCCGTCTCCGAACACAGGGGCGCCGGGGTTCTGCCGTGGCCTGCACCCACGACAGGGTCCCACCTGTGGGCAGGAGGGCCCTCCCAGAGTCTCCTTTCAGCCATATACATGTGACACACAATGTACGGACTAACTGCAATGAACTGAAGTGACAAGGCAGTTTTTCTCACTCGATACCGAAAAGATGTTTCAAGCCTGAGAAAAGTTAACAGAAACCAGAAAAAAGAAAAATAATTCTAAGCAGCACATTGAGATCCTCCTAAGATGTTCTAAACTCTTAATTTAGTGGAACTCATAGAAATGGAGGTTAAGCCCGATACCATTTTCATTATTTCAATCAAAGTCAAGAATATTACAATAGGCCAGGCGCGGTGGCTCACGCCTGTAATTCTGGCATTTTGAGAGGCTGAGGCCAGAGGATCACTTGAAGTCAGCAGTTTGAGACCGGCCTAAGCAAGAGTGAGACCGCATCTCTACTAAAAATAGAAAATTAGCCAGGTGGGATGGCATGGATTTGGCCATCCCTGTCACCTAGGCTGGGAATTTCATTTCACAAGAGACTGAGCAAAAATGCCTACTATTTGAAGAGGTGCTCAGCATCATTAGTCAGAGAAATGCAAATTAAAGCCACAATAAGATGCCACTACACACCCGCTATAGGGACTAAAATTAAGATGACTGATTACCCCACATGCTGGCAGGGATGTGGAGCAACGAGAGTCCCACACTGCGCAGAGCAAACGTTTGGCAGACCTACTAAGGCTGAGCACGAACGTGCACTGAGCCGCAACGCCACTCCGAAGGCCAGCCCAGCGGAGGCGAGCGCCTGTGCCAACGGCAGCCGGGCGTCGTCCACAGCAGCGTGGGAACCACTCCTGTCTGGCAGCAGATGGACAGTCCACTCTGGAATGCTGCACGACAGCGAGACAACGACACACGACTTGCGTGAATCTCAAGACGTGCTGAACAGAAGTCCAGATACAGGACTGTATCGTTCCCTTTCCACAAAGGTCAAGAACAGGCAATGCAATCTGTGGTGACCCACGGGGGTCCTGACAGGAATGGGACCTGCTCAGAGTGTATTACCCCAAAACCCTTATTTGCTCTGAGTGGTGACAACCCGTATATGTTGCAAAAATTCACTGAATATACGTATGTGCACACGTCTGCGTGCACGTATCACAGTCTATGCAGAGAGGGAGACTGAAGAGGAGTGTGCTTCATTAGCAGGTTCGTGTCAATCTAAAACACCTTACTAACAGGCGCTGAAAATGCCAAGGGCTCCCTGGTCCAGGAGCGGCCTCTGTGGAAAGGTCCCACAGAAGACAGCAGTCAAGATGGAAGCAGACCCGGGAGGCCCTGGGAGGCCTTTCTGGTGCGGGGCTGGCAGAGGACGGCCAGCTGGGCAGATGTGATGGGTGTGCGCACACGTGTGCACACACACGAACCACACACACCCTCCTGCACAGACATTCCACAATCACAGTCACCGGACAGCCCGACACAACTTCTGAATTCCCTGGAGTCTTGACACCAGAAATAAGTTCTTCCAGATGGAGGCTGATGGATTTTGAGATGGAAATCAATTAGAAAAAAGATAAATAAAGAGTAAGCTGCAGAGGGCTCCAAGAGGCAAACACACAAAAAGAATCTTCAAAGTGCTCTAAGAAAATATTGGCTCCTCTGTGGAGCTTAAGAAGATGGCCAGGCCGGGCGCGGTGGCTCACGCCTGTAATTCTAGCTCTCTGGGAGGCCGAGGCGGGCGGATTGTTTGAGCTCAGGAGTTCGAAACCAGCCTGAGTGAGAACGAGACCCCATCTCTACTAAAAATAGAAAGAAATTAATCAGACAACTAAAAATATATAGAAAAAATTAGCCGGGCATGGTGGCTCATGCCTGTACTCCCAGCTACTCGGGAGGCTGAGGCAGAAGGATTGCTTGAGCCCAGGAGTTTGAGGTTGCTGTGAGCTAGGCTGACGCCACGGCACTCTAGCCCGGGCAAAAGAGTAAGACTCTGTCTCAAAAAAAAAAAAAAGAAGATGGCCTATGTATTACCCCAAAACCCAAAGCCATAAAGAAAAAGATTAATAAATTCAATTACTTAAAGATGAATTCGATAATAGGTATCAGATTTAAAAGGCAAACTAAAAAACAAATTTAAAAGGCAAACTAAAAAACAATTTGAGGCCAGGCACAGTGGCTCACACCTGTAATCCTAGCACTTTAGAGGCTGAGGCAGGAGCATCATTTGAGGCCAGGAGTTCAAGACCAGCCTCAGCAAGAGCAAGACCCCGTCTCTACAAAAAATAGAAAAATTAGCTGGCGTGGTGGCACCTGTAGTCCCGGCTACTTGGGAGGCTGAGGCAGGAGGATCGCTAGAGCCCAGGGTTTTGAGGTTGCTGTGAGCTAAGATGCCACAGCACTCTAGCCAGGACAACAGAGCAAGACCTTTTCTCAAAAAAGAAAGAAAACAAAACAATTTGAATCCCAAAGGGCTAATTTCCCCAATAGAAGAACACCTATAAAATTAACTCTATGCAGACAGAGACCCAGTAGAGAGAAGAGGGCTGTGTCCATGCCAAGCAGGGATTCTTCAGCTGGGGAACCCGGAGATCCTATGGGAACCCACAAGAGGGTTTCAAGGGTTGCATGTGAGCACCACGATATACAATGTGCGGGATGTTTAAAAAAGCGGCCTTCACATTCCCCCTTTGCCATCCACCTCCCACGTGGAGAGTTCAGTGCCAAGGGCGACGACCTGGAAGTGGTCCTCTGGACTCGCCAGGGAGCCCCAGGTGGCCTTCCGAGACACCAGACTGTCACTGGCTTCCAGCCGTCTCAGTGGCAGTCACAGAGCTACTGGCAGCATGTTTTCCAGCAAGTTACGTTAACTGAGCAAACACTAAAATGATCAAAATGGCATTGATTTTGCAAGAAGCAAATGAAAACAACTTACCCCAGCAAACACCCCAGCGTGCAGAACTCAGTTGACAAAGCGAACTGGGTGGCAAGATGTTTGTGACTGGGTAGTCCAAACACGCCTTGTTAGTGTTGCACCACAGACACTGCAAGAGATCGGCACTGAATGAATGTTAGAAACGCAACATGAACACCAGAGAACCAGACTGTCCAGGGCCCGACCACCTTTCACGGCTGCCACTGCCACCCGGCATGGTCATCTCTCACGGGTGGCTGTGAAGGCCTTGTCCGTGTTACTTGTCCTCTTCCACAGCTCACCCAGCCGCGGCCTCCGTGCTGCTCCGGCCTCTGCACAGCCTGTGTGTTCTGCCGGGAGCGCTGCTCCCCTCCCGATGCCTGCACGGTTCTCCCACCTACTCGACCAGGCCTGCCCCAGCCGACCACTTCACGCTGCGCCCGTCTCCCTGTCCCTTCCCTCAGTGCCACTTTCCACCGCGGCGCCCCAACATGCCGCGCACCTGTGCGTCTCACTGGAGCGACCCAAGAACACAGCACAGGCTGGCCCGCAGTAGGCTGGTTCAGCGTCTGCTGAATGGGCTTTGGCGACCATGGCGGTCACTATCGGTAGAAAGGTACCCTGCGTTCCGCCTCTGATCTTCACAACTGCACTAAGTTGCCGCCATTTGAAAGACAACGCAATTAAGGCTCACAGGCATCTGCCCAGAACTCGAGAACAGGAGAGAACCTCACAGATGCTCTTGTCTGAGCCCTTCAAAGGTTAGGGGCGAGGCTGGAGCAGCGCAGAGACAGCACCATCAACCAGCGGGGGCATCAGAGCCCGGAGCTGGGCCAGCCGCAGGCTACGGCAGGGCACGATGAGGGTCAAGAGCACTTTGTGAGCCGGGCACTGTGGGTGACAAGAAACGCAGCCCAGGCGACCTGGGTGGGCATCCTCGGCAGACACCACATAGGAGGGGCAAAAGAACTGCACTTTCAGTGCAACCAACATGCCAGCCAATGTCGAGACTTTGCCTGTTTTTTAAATCTTATTGACAGTGTTACTGTCTTTTTAAATAGGATAGAAAATCTTAAATTTTTTTTGTCCCAGGTTAAGGCGAAAGTTTACTACAAATTTTTATTAAAATGTAACCTGGGCTTTCTTTCCCAGGGCTATTTATACAGTGATCACTTTAATGCATTATTTAAACAGCTTAGAACATAATATTTTAAATTTTATTTATTTATTTATTTTTAATGAAGATGGGGTCTTGCTAAATTGCCCAGGCTGGCCTCAAGCTCCTGGGCTCAAAAGATCCATTTTGCTAGGACAGTTTTACCATAAGCCCTAAGAGCTCACTGGGAGGACACAGCACTGTCTCTGGTGGTGGTGGTTGTTTGGTCTGGTTGTTTTTAATGAACGAAGTACCATGCAGGCGACAAACAACTCAAGCAGCACCAAGGGGACTGTCTGCCGCAGGCTCTCTTCTTCCATCCCCTGAGGCCTCCTAGGCACTCAGACATCCTTCCGGAAACCTCCTGTGCATGCTCAAGGACGTGCCCATGAGTCTGGAGCTCGCGGCACGTTTGCTAAGCGTCCCTCTGCAGCGCCCCTCTGACTTGCTCTGCCTGGGTTCAGAGCAGGGGTCAGGCCTTCAGATGAAGTCCAGGCCTGGGGCTACTGCGGACCAGACCCACTGTGACCTGAGCAAGGCCCCTGGCCACCTCAACTGAGACTACTGTCATCACCACACCCAACCTAGGGTGGTGAGGCTTCCACAGGACGATGCAGCAAAAATGCTCTCAGGCCGCAAAGCGACGTACGATAGTAAGCTATTTTTATGGCTGAAATGACTCCCAGTAGAAAAATCCAGAGACCAAAGAGAAGCACCGTCAAGAAAATATCACCCATGAGGACCAGACCCACTGGAGCATGTCCAGCATTATCGAGGACAGGATCTGAAAACTACGGTCACCACATGTTTCAGTTTTTAATCAGCAAATCCAGTATCCCCTTAAGTCCCACAAACTGACAAGATATGCCTCAAACCCACACTTCTGCCACACAGGGTGAGAACTGTTTTTTAAAAACACAGCTAATGCCTTAGAGTGGAAATCACCTAACACATCTTTCTGACCTGTTGCCAGACCTCGCTGTCAGGGAAAGAGAAACACAGGCCCTGCGGTTCTCGGCACCCTGTACGACCTGACTGCAAGGGGCAGGGGTGGCGGCCTCCCTGGGACCCTAAGGCACAAAGACCCCACAGAACGCTGACTTCTGTCCCAACCACTGCCACCCACTGCTGGCCTCCCCTCAGGTTCTCCCATGCTGGGGACACAGCGCTGTGATTAAACAAGGTCAGAGACGCTGCGTGTAGGCGCTACTAAGTCAAGAGCTCCGCCGCAAGGCAGTGCTCAAGAGGAGTCCGCTGGGCCGGCCACAGGCGCAGGCCGCCGCGCTGAGACAGCCAAAGAGCCCTGACGAAGCAGCGCGCTCACACACCTTCGGCAGGATCCACGCGGCTGTGCTATTTCCGCACCGCTGTTTCCACCTCTCCTGGAGAGACGGCTGCACGTTTCCACTAGAGCCCAGGACGACCGCCTGGAAGTAACCTGGGAGGCTCCGGCCCCACCCGGTAACGTGGAGGACTAGAGAACCTTGCTCCGGGATGGCTACTCTCCCGCTCAAGGTTACACAGGGGTTTAGAAGAACTAGGCACAAAATCCAACCACAGTGGGCTGAGTCTTATGTTGTAACTTGAGATGCTGGACCAGAGGGCCCCACTCTGTCCCCGTGTATAGAGCTGAGAGAGAGGCGTCTGTCGCGGCCCTCAACAAGCGAGGCAGATCCGAGGTGCACGAACAACCCAGTTTCTCTTGAAAAGGGGCCTGTCGGGAAAGCTGACCCCACAGCGCTGAGCAGGGAGTGGGTGAGGAGGTCTCCACGCACTCAGCAAGTGTGGACTCAAGCCCCGACTCTGCTCCCAGAGCACCTGCTGCCATGTCTTGGGGGCCCATCTCACAGATGAGGTCACAGCCCGGCCCCCAACAGGACTCTAAGGTCTAATGACCCCGAGGAAAGGCCCAGTCACAGGTTAACAGTCATAGATTAGATGCTAAGCAAGTACGAGCACAGACTCAGCCCAGTGCGGGTCTCCGACCCGGCCACCTAATGCCCAGCCCACTGACACCTCCCAACCAGCTCACACACCTGCAGGCCCGGCCCCCTCCACACACTTCTGCACCCACCACCCGCTACAGGACTGACGTGGTGCTCGGGTGGTCTCTGCAGTTTTCATGAGAAGGTTTAATATGCCTGAGAAAGGCTAAAATAGTATTTAATAACTATCACAAAAAATACCTCCACAAATCCCAAAAGGCAGAACCCTTTCAACACACAAGTGGCTGTGTGGGTCTAGGAAAGTCCGTCTGCTTTGGGATCGCACCCCGATCTGCAGCTACTTACGGAGACGTTCTTCAGGCAGTCCCCACAGGTTCCGTTTGTGTTCTGAGAACAGGCTGCAGGGGAGAGACAGAGACAAGCAATCACTGAGAAATCAGGCACCGTCAACACTAGCTCGCAAGGGCAGGGAGGGCCTGGGGAGGGCGCCGGCACTGAGAATCTCTGATTTGGAACTACCGAGACGAACACCCCTCAAAAAGCTCCTGCTAACAAGCCTTCTTCAAGACATCTGGAACAAACATTCTGCAACCCTGCTGCAGGAGAACAGCAAACATGCGGCTCCTGTCTGCAAGGGATCTTCTGGGAAAGGAGATTCCAAACACAAAAGGCTGTGTTTCACGTGTCTCTCCTGGAGAGGGGCTGAGCCGTGTGGCTTCCTAACCACCAAGCACTAACCCACCGAGACCTTCTGCTCCTCGGCAGACACCTTTTGGGAAAGCAGGAGCCTCCCCACAAGGCCACAGCAACACCAGCAACACTGCCAAGAAGCACACCCGTGTTTCCAGACTTACCTACAGATCTCACGTGACAAGGCAGGTCTCGGCGCCCTGGCCAGCCTCTGCTAGACACGGCTGTGCTCCCCAGCACCGAGGGAGCAGCACCGCCCGGGTAGCCTATTCCAATCATGCAGAACACCTGGGACTCTGCCAGCTACGCACAGCACCACTGCTATGAGAAGGGGTCAAACTCCAAGCAGCTAACAGCTCTGGACTCAAGCTGGTCAGCAGCGAAGAGCTACCACTGCGTGAATAAAGGACCTCCAACATGCTACTCAGCAGCTGCCGACTGCTTGCTCCCCACCACCCCCCCGAGCACATGCTTTGAAAAGAAGCTCTATGCTCAAGGAGTCACCAGAGAAATGCAAATTAAAACTTCCAAGAGCAGGCCGGGCGTAGTGGCTCACGCCTGTAATCCTAGCACTCTGCGAGGCCGAGGCGGGTGCATCGTTTGAGCTCAGGAGTTCGAGACCAGCCTGAGCAAGAGCGAGATCCCGTCTCTACTAAAAAAATAGAAAGAAATTAGCTGGACAACTAAAAATTTATAGAAAAAAATTAGCTGGGCATGGTGGCGCATGCCTATAGTCCCAGCTACTTGGGAGGCAGAGGCAGAAGGATCGCTTGAGCCCAGGAGTTTAAGGTTGCTGTGAGCTAGGCTCATGCCACAGCACTCTAGCCTGGGCAACAGAGCGAGACTCTGTCTCAAAAAAAAAAAAAAACAAAACCTCCCAAGAGCTACAACCGCACACCCACCGGGATGGCTAAAATTAAAGAGAATGACGATACCAAATGCTGACAAGGATGTACAGCAACAGGAACCCTCACACAGTGCTGGTGGGAGTGAAAATGGTTCAACCATTTGCAAAAAGGTCTGGTGGCTGTTCATAAAACAAACGTGCACCCACCCCATAACTCAGCAATCCCCTCTTAGGTATTCCATCCAAGAGACACTAGAGTTACGTCCACAGGAAGACCTGCGGAGGAATGTTCAGGGCAACTGTATCTGTTAACAGCACCAAGCTGAAAACAGCCCCATGACCCTCTGTAGGAGGATGGACAGACAGACTGGAACATTCATACGATTCGAGCAGGGAGCCAAGAACAGCAAACACACAGATCCCATCTGCAAGGGATTTTCTGGGAAAGGTGAGATTTCGAACACAAAAGGCTGTTGTGTGTGTCTTCCCTTTAGAGGAGGAGGGCCCCGTGGCCACGTGATCACTAACACGCTTCAGCCATAAGAAGAAATGGACTGGTCTATGTACCACACAGATGAACCCCAGAACCATCGTGTGGAATGTCGGAGCAGACTGCACAGTTCCGTGCGATGCGGCTGCAGAACAGGGGGACTCGTCTGTGAGGGGCAACAACGATGAGGGGCGGGGCCTGAGTTACACACTCGTAACTCTCTGAACAGCACACTCCAGTTTCCTGCATGTCATCGTGTGAAAATTTATCTTAAAAGACAGGACAGCCACTCAACTCTGGTTGGTCACTGACAGGCAGGACGTGTGGGCGCGTGCACGGACGCCGTGACCAACTCGCACACGCACAGAAGACTGGGGGCACCTGGAGGTGCCTCAGTGGCGGGTGTGTGTTTGTGCGCTACAAAGTGCGTTCGCCTTTGCTGTGCGTGTGAAGATTTTCACAATGCAGGGAAAGAGCTGTAGCTGTAAGTTACAATGTCACTCATCGTGCTCACTAACAGGGACAATCCACAGAGTAAACTGGTACTTTGAAATAGCTGTGGTCCCTGTTTAATAATCTAGCTCTTCTACACTCCATTTTTCTAAATGAAACCCCATTTTATTTGAAAAGAAAGCACATTTTGTCACATATTGTTCTACAGCAATTATTACTAAGTAGCACTCTTCTCCAAGTCCAGGAGTGTGCTATTCAGTTTGTGTTCAAGTTTGTTTTGAACCACTTTAAATACTCAAAACGACAGATTTTATCCACCCCGGGAAGGTAAGAAAACTGACGAGCACTGCAAGGGCTCAGTTCCTCAAAGCACAGAGCAGAGGCAGCGTTCCAGCGCACCGTGACGACGCGCACCGTGGGAGAAAGGAGTCGCAAGTGCCAGCAGAGGGCAAAGACCCTGTGGTGGGTGTGACCAGGCACCATAACGAACCACGGATGTAAAAACCCAGTTCCCGGCTCTGCCCACTGACAGGGCGGCACCCGGTGGCAGAGAACACTCAGTGCCCAGGTCTTGGTTGGTCCACACTAAAAGGAACCAGGACGCCTTGGAGAATTGGCTGATTCTAGAACCGGGACAAGGAAAGGACAAGATAAGCTGCAGACCGCTTGCTGCTCCAGAGAGCCACACAGACTTATGACTAAACGGCAAGACGACCTAGAACCCAGCCTGGAAGGGGTCTCTGTGGCCAAATCTGGGACAATTTAAACATCAAAATAAATTAACGACAGGCAGGGTGTGGTGGCTCATGCCTATAATCCTAGCACTTTGGGAGACCGAGGCAGGATTGCTTGAGGGCAGGAGTTTGAGACCAGCCTGAGCAACATGGTAAAAATAAATAAATACATAAATAAATAGCAATAGTCATAGACTCCAGCCTCTTGAATAAAATAGCCTATGATTTCACACTGACATAAAACAGATAAGGAGAAGGCCAACTAGCAAATAGAAGAAATGGCTGGGCACTGTGGCTCACACCTATAATCTCAGCAGTTTGGGAGGAGGCGGCAGAAGGATCACTTGAGCCTAGGAGTTTGAGACCAGCCTGGGCAACACAGTGAGACCCTGTCTCCACCAAAACAAAATTTTAAAAATTAGCCAGGTGTGGTGGCGTATGCTTGCAGCCCCAGCTACTGAGGAGGCTGAGGCAGAAGGCTCGCTTGAGCCCAGGAATTTGAGACTGCAGTGAGCTGTGATCGTGCCTCTGCACTCTAGCCTGGGGGACAAAGCAAGATACTGTTTCTTAAAAAAAATAAAAAACAAAATAAAATAAAAAATAAAGTGGAAGAAATGATGAGTTCAGAAGTATCCGTTTCACAACCCTCACAGTCAACACTGACACAGGCCAGAATTCCCTGAGGATGCCAAGACCACTGCGTTGCTTGTGGAGTGACAGAGATCAAGAGTCTCAAAGCACCTCCCCACAGGTTAGCACTACTTAGGAGAGAAAATGGCACCTTCCAAGGCATCCAAGTCGTCACAATGACCTCTGAACAACATGATAACGGGACAAAGCATGGGGCGGGGCTGGGCACTGAGGACACAAGCACCAGGCAGCGCTCCTGCCAAAGTGCACCTGAATCAAATCAGAGGAAACGCAAACAACCAGCTGAGGTCCTCCCACAAACTGGCTTTCTTAAAACAAAGACAGACCGAGAAACCATTCTAGACCAATGGAGATGAAAGAAACGTAATAATTAAATGCAACCAGTGATCCTAGATTTCAGGGGGTGGGAGGAATAGAACAACATTGTTGAGATAATTGGTAAAATTAGTATATATACTGTACATTAAAAAATGCATATTCAAGTATCATATCAATGTCAAATGTCCAGATTTTGATAACTCCTATATTCCAGTTATGCAGAATGTTTTTATTCTCAGGTGACACACTCTGAGGAATTTAGCGGTAAGGGGCCACATCAGTAACCTACTTTCAAATGGTTTGGTCAAAATAACAACAAGTAATACGATTATAATTTGTCAATTTACATAAAATTTTGAATAAATAAAACACAAACAATTTTATCGTTGACTGAGAAATGAGCAGATCTGGGAGTGCTGAAGTGATGGAGCAAATGCTGAGAGCACCCCCACCTTCTGTGCAGCGCTGAGACCTTCCCACCCGAGGCCGGGGAGGCAGGTGCAGGGCGTGCCTCGCACACCCTCCTCCAGTTGTCGCTCCAGACATTAATATTGCTGTATAGAGACAGAAATGGTCTCAGGAGTTTTGCGGGCCTTGGCCCTGAAGGGACACGTGAACATGTTAGTTCACATATCAAAAGCAGCTTCACCTCAGGAGGGCATCTCACAGGTCAGTGGCAGCTGCTTTCCAAGGTGACCCTGCAGTCTCAAACCCGTGGCTTTCGCTTGTTTTGTAGGGCAAAGCCGGTTTGTATGGAGCCACGGGATGAGAGCTGATCAAAGAATGTCCGCCCGAGAGACAGACACCTGCGGCTAAAAGCAATTAGCCTAAGGGACAGTTCCTGCTTCACTCCTGACTAACTGTCTTAATCTATAAAAACTAGATAAAGAAATATAGAGCCACCGTATTTCTGTTTAACCCTCTGCTAAGTGATAGCTTTATCTCAGAACTTAGAAGTTTGTCTTAGGAAGATTTTGTAACCGTTTGCTCACATAGAGTTAATTAAGGGATCTCTAGAAGCCTTTTGGGAGACTTTTAACCTAAAATGAACTACCTGTTGCTATGCAAATATGTTACCCCTGGCAACCGATCACTGTACCAATAAATACCCTTGTGAAACTTTACTCTGGGCCTCACAGCTCATGGGAATGCTGTGGGGCTCCCGATACCCCAACTATTATAAATCTATACTTTATAAAACCGTATTTTCGTCTCTGTGTATTCTTTTATTTCTCTATTATTTTCTATTTTTTATTATTTCCTATCCTTTGCGACGACCCCTGCCTAAGGGAGCCGATTTTTTGCTGGGAGCGCAGCTAACTCCCCGCATCCAGTCCTTTTGGAAAGTCATCTACAGCAAAGGATGTCCTTCCTCCTCAGTCTAACACTGGACACGGGAGACAGGGATGATGTGGTATGCGAACTCACTCATGGGGATTTTCATCTTTAAAGCTTTTTGATAACTGAAATAATTGAGCTCCAAGACACCATAAACTCTGTCCACCCCCAGGCGTCTGGATTATGGGCCAGTGTGACTCAAATGACAGGCACGGGAGGAAGAGGCAGAGGGAACAGCCCAATGCACACCCAGCATGCCAAGAACAGAGTGAGGTTTCAAAATGGGGGGAAATATCAATGTCAAACAGTCCTCAGGAAAATAACTTCAAGGCTGGGAAAAAGGCATTCTGTTCTCTTTCAAAAACACATCGTCTTGCATAGTAGGAAGGAAAGACATTAACCACGTAGTACTGCTCAGAGACAGGCAGTGTTTTGCTTCTTTAAGCCATCAGTCACGGTATCACTTACCTCGTCAAGGGACACAGAAAGCCATGGGCTAGAGAGCCAGAGATAAGGAAAACTGCTCTTGAATCTCTGAAGTCTAATACTGAACACGAACACCCTGACTTCTGAGGTCCTACGGCTGTGAGGCTTCAACTTAGGTTCTATGACTATCTGTCAATTAAAGAACTTCCAGTCTCATTTACTTCAGAAAGGAAAGGAAAACAAACAAAAAGTGTTTACTGTCAGGCTACACTAACCCACTATGACCCTTGGTGCACTTTCCTCAAGTTTCCAGTGAGCCAATAAATTCATTAAGCACGAAAGGGCACATTAGCCTGTGTGAAGAGATATGCTTTTTAAAATTAAGGCAGAAAGCAGGCACAGTGGCTCACGCCCATCATCCTTGCACTTTGGGAGGCTGAGGCAGAGGACTGCTTGAGATCAGAAGCTACAGACCAGCCCATGCAAGAGCGAGACCCCATCTGCAATAAACACAGAAAAATTAGCCAGGCATGGAGTCCCAGCTAGTCGGGAGGCTGAGGCAGGAGGATCACTTGAGCCCAGGAGTCTGAGGCTGCAGTGAGCTATGATCACGCCACTGCACTCCAGCCTGGGTAACAGACTGAGACCCTGTCTCAAAAAATAAAAAATAAGGTTGCAAGTAAGTCTGTTACTTGTTATGTACCCATCACACAATAGGCCGCAGGCTGCAGTCTGCCGTGCCCCTCAGTGGTGGAATAGGCCCCCAAAAGGCGCGCTGTGCTCACTGTGCACACGGACAGAAGCACGAAGAACTCCTACACTGTCAACTTCAGGTAAGAAAAAAAGGTGTTCATTAAGACAATAAAGTCCTTGTCACCCCACTATTTTAGCAGAATATAAAGTGGTGAAGAGTGGTGGTATATATCAAAAATATGAACCACGTGTATGCTGTAGCATTCTGTACAATTTACTTAGAAAGCCATGTTTCTCAGGGTGAGGGGGCAGGACTACAGATTCCCCCTCCAAATCGAGAGTCCCCCTGCAAGGAGCAGTTGGTAAGACCCGACGCCCAGAGGTGGTCACCACTGGGGTCCTCAGGACTCCTGTGTGGAGGGCAGCAGACTGAGGTCCTTTCAGGGATCATCTTCCCCCAGCTGCTCTTGGATTGAGTTTAACCTCAGCCCCAACACAAAGTGGGGTCCGAACGCCCTATCGAGGCTTCTTTTAATTTCATGAATCTCGCTTTTCTAAAGATCTTCAACGCACCATGGGTTCCTAAAGTCTCCCCTCCACCAAAGTACACAAAAAGACATTAAAAAGTGTTGGTTCTGGATCGGTGTGATGTATTCGTTAAATTCACACAGTATTCTTGCAAAGAAGACAAAATGTTCCCAACATTAGTACCGTGCTCACATCCCTGTAAGTATGACAAGCAGTAAAAGTCTCATACTAAGCAAATACTCTGTAGAAGAGGGGACAACTCACTGCTCTAAGTAGCGCCTCTGTCCAAGGCGAGGAGAATGCAGACACCCACGCACTAGGGCACTAAACACCAACATGGCATGACACCACTGCTCCCACTTCAAGGTGTCCCCAGGGAGAGAAACCCCCGTCTCTGTCCGTCCCCAGGACTGGGTGATTACACATGGAAGCAAACAAGCGTGGCCTCCAACTGCAGAGGTGCTGTTCGGCTGACACACTGAATGGCACCTCTGGTTTAATCCCCAGACTGTCGCAGTCCACTCCACTCATCGCACCCACCCCTGCACCCTTCAGACGACCAGAGCCAAAGAATCAGGGCAGCCACAGGAAAACCGCAGGGCTGCCTTCCTGACGCACCCACTCTAATAATGCAAACACACCCCTGAGCCCCGATAAGATTTCCACGGCACAAATTCTCCCGGCAGACGCCCGTTCTGTCTGGTGAAAGGTATTCCCTGCACAGCTGTACTCAGAACTCAATTCAGGCCAAAAGTTCCCCGTACTATTGGACTCCTTCATTAACAAACTTCAAGACAGCTGCGTTGTTAGTGTCACAAACACTAAGCACACTTGGAAGCAGATAAGAAGAAACTTAAACAATCCTGCCCTGGAATGAACATGCCATAAGGTCACAGAGAAAAGGCGTTTGCTATGCTAGAGTTAAAGAGAACTTGACGGTCAGGGCCCACACGAGTTGAGAAAAACATCAGCCCCTCAAGCTGGGCCCAGGTCGACCCTAATTGTAAAGATCGTGAAATTGCGGCTGCGGGGCCATTACCCACACCTCGTGATCACCTGGACACTCCTCACACACAAGCCGGCGTGACACTCAGAAGCAGGCCCAACCGTGACTCTGGGCTTAAAAGCTCTGGTGATTTCCCACCATCCTGGGGCAGCCCCCGCCCCTGGCCAGACCCCCGGGAAGCACCCTCCGTGTTTCTGGAACTCCGTGGGCCTCGCATCCGGCGCTTTCCTCCGCTAGAACTCCCCCCAACCCAGCGCCCCAGCTCCTTGTCTCTTGGTCAGTCTCCCGAGGAACAGCGCCTAAAGGACAGGAGCGCCGTGTGCCGGCCACCACCGGGGCCCCGGTGCCTGGCACAGCTGGGATAAGCGAATGAAGGATGCCCACCTGCCGGTGTGGACAGCGCAGAAACGGAATCGGTTTGCTTCAAAGCAGGCACTACAGCGTCGTTTCCGATAAAGCCTCTCCTTAGTGCCTAAGGCAAGAAACAACTCCCCGTACTCGCCGCGGTACCTATTCCTCCCCTGGGGGGGGCAGTGGTGTCAACGCCGGCGGCGGTACACACGGCTGTACACGCCCTCGCGACCCTCCAGGGGCCTGGGGCCCCGAGACCCGCTGCCGCCGCAACCCCGGCCCGCCCTGGCCACGGTGGAGCGCGTCTGAAGCCGAGCTTCCCGGCGCGGAGACCGCAGGGCGCCAGGCAGGGACGCGTCCCCTCGCCGGGGCGTGGGCCCCACAGTCAGGCGCGAGGAGTGGCCGCCGCGGCCGGACAAAGCCCAAGGGCCGGCGCCTTCCTGCCCGCCAGGGGGCCCCTCCGCTCCACCGCCGGGAGCAGCCCCGCATGCGACGGCGCGACCCCCGGGAGCAGCCCCCGCTGCGACCCGCGCCCCGGGCCGCCCCTCCGAGCCCGGTGCCGCCACCCCACGGGCCCCCGACACCCCTCGATCGCCCCGCGGCCCCCGCCCGGACCCGGCGCCCTCACCCGCTGCGGGCGGCTCCTGCGCGGCGGCCGCCGGGACGAGCAGCAGGAGCAGCGCGGCGCCGCCGAGGGGCAGCCCCCAGTGCGGCGTCGGCCCGCGGGCCCCGCCGGGCGCCATGGCCGGTCGGCGGGTCGGTCAGTCAGGCGCTGGCCGAGACTCGGACGCCAGCCCTGGCTGTTTCTGCCCGGAAGAACCGCGGCGCCGGAAGTGAACTCGCGGGGCGGGGACAGGTGAGTGCGCAGCCGCGGGCTCCTGCTCGCCCCCCCACCCCGTGCGCCTGCGCAATGGAGGAGCGCGGACCGGCAGCAGCGGCTGAGTTTCTATGCGCCTGCGCGGCGAGGCGCGCTACGTGTCTAGCGGGCGGGTTCCGGCTGTGTGTTTCGGGGCCTTGACCCTGAAGCGGAGCGGCGATCCGGGACGGTAGCCCCAAGCGCTGCTAATGATACTCTTAAAAGGGCCCCTGCAGGAGCCGGTCGGCTCGCTGGGGCCGGGGGACACCCGCGCCCTGGGGCCGGAGCTCCGTGCACCGAACCGGGACCGCCTCCCTGAGGCCGCCGCCAGCCTCCGAGCAGTGGCCGTCGGGGGTATGGTGACGTGTGCGCTTGAGAGCACCGAAATCGCTCTCAAAGTGGGTTTCAGCGTGTACTGCTCAGCCACCATCCGGGCTCCCGAAAGAAGTGTCTCGCTCCTCCTTCGTCTTTCCCGGACGCGGCCATCGCAGATGTGCGGGACGGCTCCACGGTGACCGCCCCCACGGAGACCGCACCCATGGAGACCCCCCCACGGTGATCGTCCCACGGTGACCGCACCCGTGGTGACCCCCCCCCAGTGATCGTCCCACGGTGACTGCACCCACGGAGACCCCGCACGGTGATTGTCCCACGGTGACCGCACCCATGGTGACCCCCCACGTGATTGTCCCACAGTGACCGCACCCACGGAGACCCCGCACGGTGATTGTCCCACGGTGACTGCCGCTGGGACTGCCCCTCTCTGAGGTGACTATGTTCCTGGCTTGTCCACCTTCCCCCCACCAAGGCTTAGGGCCCCTCCATGTTAGACTCTAGTTGAGTATATTGAAGTTCAGTAGATAAAAAATACTAAACACTGAAAAGACTTGTTTTTAAGGCTACTTAAATGACAAAAACGCATATGCAGGTATGAAAATAAATACAATTTAAAAGCTGTTGGGAACCCCCAAACAGTTTAAGCCTTGAGACGTGACGGTGGCCTGAGTCACACATAGTTGTGACTTCAGTTTCTCAGATTATAGAGTAACTCGCTTTCTTACAGTTCTTGTTCTGTAACTATAACGATGACTAGACAGAATTAAGTGATGTCAGGGACAGAAACCTGCCTTCTTAGTTAAGGACCCTGTTATAGATTAACTTCCCCTTTGTTGTCCTGCTCTGCTTAGGCCCGATGACAGAACCCCGTGACTGTTCCACCCTCTGTGAGAATGCAAGTGTGCCCTTCCCAGAAGAAACTGCCTATAACCAGTCAAATGGCCGTAACTGTGCGGAAACCGTCGTAATCCCGCTAAATACCGTCTCTGCCTATGTAATGACACCTCAACTTCCTGCACCAGAGTGGATGCCACTCCTTGGAGTTGGCATTTCCAGGTGGCCATCCTCAAACTTTGCACTTGAATAAACTCTCTTTCACCCAGGAGTCTAGGTGCTTTCTTTTCAAGACTAGGTTTCCATAGCCATAGTAGAGCGGAGATTTGGGGATTGTTTGGGAAACAAGAGAATCATCCCCTGCACTTACTCAGATCCATTATTTGTAGCTGTCCGGATCACCCTGGCTCAGTAGGAGCAGTGGCTGGGATCAACTAGTCATGTCTGCCATGGGTGGGGTACCTGCCACAGGAGAGCTGTCTGCCATCTTTGCTCTGCAGGGCCCAGCATATTTACTGGGTCATGCTCTGTTGCTGCCACACACCTACCTCAACCCCGGGTGAGCTCTGGGGCAGTGTGGCGGTGGCTGTGCACCACTCCCTCTGCCCCAGCACGCTGGGGCTCAGCTGTGTGGCCCCTAAGTCTTCCGTACTTCCTTTCCCTGCGAGGGCTCCGAAGTGGGCAGGATTTAACCCGCTCTCGACCCCCAGGGCCAGTGGGGAAAGCACTAGTGGAGTCTCTGGCGAGGGGCACTGGTGGCCACCGTGTGTTCCTGCCCACACCTCATCCAGCCCCATCACCACAGTGACGGAAAACCAGAGCCAAAGGATGTGGACTGCCCAGGGTCCCAGGGCCAGAACAGCCCTCAGGGCCTGCAAAGCTGGTAGACTGGGCTCAAATCCCAACTCTACCAGTTCCCACCTTCATGACCTCAACCAGGTCATCTGGCTGTAGCAAGCTTTGAGGAAGCAAAGGCGATCACACATCGCACACGGACCACCAGTGGGTCGTAGGTCTCAGTCCCATCTTAACTCTGCTCTTCCTCATTGGGACAGACCTGAGCTAACACAGGTCTCCGTGCTGCTGGGCAGGGTCTCCTCTGGTCTGGTTTAGACGGCTCACCAGAAGCCTGTGCACAACCCCCCTGCACAAAGACAACAGGTCGTTGGTGTATCAGTGTGCGTGGCGAACGCTTAACAAGCACGTCCTCCACTTTGCTCTGGCTCATCATAAACTGTTAAAGTTCCTTCCTGTCCTTGTGTGGCTGCAAAGGGCCCTTAACGGCCATAAACCGTCTCTGACCCACACCTTCCAATTCAAATACTTTGTATCTTCACTGAGAGCTTCTGTCATATAAAAAGATGTTTAAAATCCATTTGCAACAGAGTAAACACAAGCCTGGGTTTAGAACTATGCCTCTGAAACTTTTTTTATCCTAGCAATGCGACCACACAATGCTAATTTAATGATAATAGAAGGACATTTTAAAATACAACTGAGTTTTGGGACAATTTGACAAAACAGAAGCTCAAAAACATACTTGGTAATTATAGCCCAAGTTCCCGTTTTACTCACAGTGAAGCCAAGATCTAAAAGGGAGAGGAGGGGTGCGTTCTACAGCTTAACACACCCGGGGCTCCCAGGCGTATGTTCAATTGTCAAAGAGCTCCAAGCTCATAGGAACGACAGAAACGGCACCGTACACAGGAAGAACAAACTGTAGTGACTTTTAGAGAAACAGAATGAATACTTGGAGCAGTCTGGAATTAAAATAGCTTATGTCTTTCCAAGAAGAAAGACGGTCAAGGAATCAGACTGACAAAATCACAGCGGTATCCACTTAGGGGAGATGGTAGCCGACCCAGAGCCGTGGAACAGACACAGACCAGCCACGGGGCGCTGAGGCCAACGCCCTCGCGGTCCTGGACTTCCGGGGTCTCCACCTCGGAATTGGAGTCACCTGCTGGGGCCTTTCGCCAGAGCTTTTGTTTGGTGGCCAAGGGTCTGTACCATCTGATTTCTTTTTTGTCATTACAAGTACATTCCTTAGTAGGTTAAAGAATTACTTCTGGAGAGGCTGCATAGAAAGAATGAAATTCTGGTGACACATTAAATCTCCAAGGTCGGTAACACTGGGAGGACAAAGAGGCTTTGGAGGGAGCTCGGAAGGGTGGCGCCCGTGGGCAGGGCCCGCAGGGTTGTGGGGGAAGGCAGGCGTGGAGGGAGGGGAGCGCTGTGCCCGTGGCCAGAGCCCGTTTTCCTTGGTTGGATTAAGCAACAATGCCCAACCTGCACCCCGGTGTGTGGGATGGCTCCGCGGGGGGCTCCCGTGCCATGTGTGGCCTCTCAGGCTCAGGGATTTGCTTTGACCCAGACACAGAAACCTCCGATCACCCAGCCTTTGCAAGCAGTCATAATTCTCAAAGCACTTCCTGTGTCAGCCTCTCAAATCCTCTGAAAACTAGTGGGAAAATGTCAGAAAAAAACCCAAAAAATGGATTGAGGGCAACTGACTCTGTCTGTCTTGCGAGAGACCCCTTCTGGGGTCAGCCCTGGCCCGCCGCACAATCTTCCCCGACAGAGACGGGTCCTGACTCGGGGCCTGCGCCTGGTGCCTGGTCCCTGCCGGCCCCCTCTGCCTGCCTGGGAAGCCTTACCTGGGGTGACCCTCCCTCCGCCCTTCCTTCCTGAGGGGGCGTTGCCACCCCACACACACACAGCCCTGCGGCCCCTGCCCGCAGACCACACCCGCGTGTTGACAATGACACCCTCATCGCCTAGCTTCACCTGGTGCTTCTCCAACCACAGCGTGCGTCGGACTCGCCAGACTGCTGACCCACCCGGAGCACCCCGACTCAGCAGGCTGGGCCGGGCTGAGGACGCGCATCTCCAGCAGGTTCCCAGGTGAGGCTCACCCGGCAAGGCCAGACTAGCCTTGGGGAACTGAGGCTCGAGGCCAGCGGGTCTCCACCGCGGCTGCACACATCACCCGAAGAGCGCTGAGCACCAGCCCTGCCAGCCCACCTCCCGCAGGGCGGGGGCCTTCGCAGCCCCCCGGGCGAAGGCTGTGTTGAGGACCCCTGAGTTGGGAAGTGTCACTACTGTGGACGCCCTGAAGCATCTGGCCATTTCTTGTTCCTGCCACCTGCTCAGGTGAAAGGTCCCAGGTCAGGTTCCGAAAGAGGCCCTCGTGCGGTTAACTAAGCATTTACAGTGAAAGTCGGGCGCAGCGCAGACACCGCCCACAGGCTGGCAGTGCCCGTCTGCCGGTCTGCAGTGGCCCCACGGCATGGCTGGTGGTGCGGTTTCCCCGCACTGAGGGCTTTCCCTGGGCAAAGGCCTTCCGGTGCTAAAGCTGGGACGTTCACCAGCTGTGGTGGTGGTCAGTGTCCTCTTGCATCCAGAGCTCCTGGCGGGATCTGTGAGGAGCTCAGGAGTGAATTCCGTTCGGGGGCTGTGAGTCGCTTTGGCACAGCCCCCGACTGTTCACACACCCCTCCCCTCTGAGCACTGCCAGGGAGGTGGGAGGCGGGGGTAGGGTCTGAAGACTCCAGGGTTAGGGTGACACCGGGTCCCAACTGAGCACTGGGGTTAGCAGCATCCTAGGACCAAGATGGGTCACGCGGACCGTGTGACCGGGCGAAAAGTAAACTGCTGAAACCCACGGCCAGCCAGTCCCCATGGGAGGCTTAAGGCACAAGACAAAACCCACACCGTGTGAGTTCACCGAGAGCTTCCTTCAACATAAACTCCAAGTGGCCTTAGATATGCCACGTAGGATTTTGATCCTAATTGGGTCTCAAACCCTGTCTTTAGGGCTGTGAGGGACCCTGGGCCTCCCTGTGTGGGTATTTACCATTTGGTGTGTCACCCTCAGACACCGCCACACGCCATAATCACGCACAACCTTGGCTCGTGCGCTTGTGTGGCATGGGACCGATGATGACTTCCAGGTCACCCCAGGAAACAACCCCTGAGAAAGGAGCTTCTTTTAAAACTCTTCTTGGCCATCCTCCCAAGAGCAGGCCCACCTGGCAGGCAGGTGTGGGCAGCGGGAGAGGAGGGAGAGAGACCCCCTTTCCCCGTTCGCTTCTGCCCTGCCCTGCAGGCCCCTGCGGTGGGGCCACCACGTCATTTCTGGAAATCGACCTAGAATTTGGGACAGAGGGCTCGGAGAGGGGCTCTGTGAGCAGATGAGGAAGGAAAAAAGAAAACAGAAGCCGTCCCTCCGTCTGCAGTCCGTCTGCACCTCGTGTGGGGCGGGGCGGCCCCGAGGGGCACAGGAGGTTACCCGCCTCAGAGTCGGAGACCGGCTTCTGTGGACGGCTTCGTTTTTTTTTATTGTTTTTTTTGTTTTGTTTATTGTTTTTTTGTATGCACATGATTGGTTAACAGTGTAATCAATGGGATGTAGTTTTAGGTCCTGATACACTTAAACATAAATAAACTCGCGCTACCTGTAATCAGACTGATCTCCTAACTTACACAGGACCCGCGGACCCAGCCCCGCGGGACTCGAGCTGTCCTTTCTCCTGGGTCTGGGAAGAAGACTGTGCCCATGGTTGGGGGGCACTGTTCCTTCTGGGGAGTCTGCGTAGACACCTGGCCACATCTGTCACGCTGAGGGCAGGAAAACAGTGGATCTGTGGTTAATTGGTGCTGCCGTGTCACGGTCGCATGATGGGGGTGACGTGGTTGGAGGGGGTCCCGTCTGGCCAGCCCCGGCACCTTTCTCTTCTCCAAGGCCTCCTAACTCTCAGCAAACTTGGGGTTCATGACTGTCGTGGTGGCGCTCTTGAAAAGCGGGTTATCCTGGTGAGAAAGGCAAACACGGACTTGTGGGTGTGGGAGGATTTCGGGGTAGGATCTTTCCCCTGAGGCCCTGGGTCAGCATGGCAGCCGTGCGTGGCCCCGAGGAGGAGCCAGAAGCGGGGCGGCCGTCCTGGCTTCCAGGCTCGGTGGCCGAGCTCACCCACGGCAGTGTCGTGCAGGAGGGCTGCTTGGGGAGGCCGTGCGTAGCCACGCGCAGATGTCCACGACCTCCCGCGGCAAGGGTCGGAGTGTGGGAGGCGCCTCCTCCACGTGGGACCCCCAAGGACGGCCACTTACGTTGTTCCACTGGGACTTCAGCTTCTCCTTCTCGAAGCGCTTGTACTCCCGGAGGTCGCTCAGGTGGGTCAGGGCCTTCCAGATGACCAGCAGGAGGACACCAATGAGCACGATGCCCGCCACGGTGCCCCCCACAATGGCAGCAATGTCGGGGCCCTTCACACACTCTAAGGAGGAAGCACACGCCAGAGTGTCAGTCCCTCCCTCTCTGACCCGTTCCGTGTGTGCCCTCGGGTCCACGGTCACCGCACAGCACTTGGTTGGACGGAGGGTCCCTCTGTCTTGGCTCACTGTGACCGCCATGGCTGTGCGTCCACGAGAACCTGGCCCTGGCCCCAGCCGGAAACAAGGCCAGGCCCTGTGGTTCCATCTGACACACAGGAAAGTCGGGCCCAGGTCACCAGCCAAGCAGGGCAGAGTATTGACAGCCAGGTGGGAAATGGCGCCTGAGGGACCCCTACCCTCTGACAGCAGAGGTCAGGACCGGGACTCGCAGGGTCTCTGCTCGAGTCTGCCCCTGGTGGAGGCGTTCCTCGCAACCAACGGCAGGAACCAGAGCCTGGCGCTTGGGCAGGGGAGGCCGCCGCAGGGCTGAGCGGGGCAGGGTCAGTCCTGGTGCCATGGCCGCTTTCCCGGCATTGCCCGCAGCCCCTGCCCACACGTCACAGCACCAGCGCTCAGCGCCAGCCCGTGGCCTGGCCCCCAGCACCGAAGTTCCCATGTGCTCCCTCCTGTCACCTTGGCCTTTCCAGGGAGGCCTGCTGTCCTCACAGAGGGGACGGAACTTGGCCACGGTTGCACAAACGGACGTGGACCTGAACCCGTCCACGGAAGCAAGCTGGAGGGGCTGTCGCCCTGGCAGGCCGAGTCTGCAGTCCCCAGGCCCGCGTGCGGGTCATGAGGCCCAGCTGTGTCACACGGAGGCCCTGAGCCCCACCTGCCCCCCTCGGTTTCCGTCCTGGGGAGGGAGCGCGGGGGAGCGTGCTCCCAGGTCTCAGTCCTGCGAGAGGCCTCCAGTCCCAGCTACTTGGGAGGCTGAGCCAGGAGGATCGCTTGAGGCTGGGAGATCGAGGCCGCAGTGAGCTGTGACCAAACCCGTGAATAGCCCCTGCCCTCTAGCCTGGGTGACA